GGGGGGCAGGGGACGGGTGAAATACGTTAACATGGGATATAGCAAACGGATCTTACGGGCAAGAGAAAGACTGTGATAAAACCTAAGGAAGAAGGACTGCGTAACAATATGGCAGACTCCGATCAAAATTCCCAGCACAAGGATGAAGGGGGTGAGAACGCCAGAGTGGAGCGTGAAGGGTTTTCATGAATGCCGCTCAAAGGAGCACAGCACACTACATCGAAATAAGCACGATAAACATTGTAACAGTGAAGGTGTGATAGGAGGATATAGAAAATGTGAATAGCCCAGGGCAGAAGAGGAGATATCACAACTGTTTAGCACACGTTTGGTCAAAGGATCGGCTTCATTCGTTTCTGACGGGTTATTCGTACTCCTGATTGCTTTAAGAATGAAGGCGGCTCCTCAAAGGCTAAACAATTGGATTTTGTGAAGGGCCATTATAGGTTATATAAAGTAGTACTAATAAAAATAAGCTATTTATAGCTTTTTTAATTACCTTGGGCCGCGTAACCGATCTATCTCAGAATAGCGGGGCATATTGTCCGTAAGTGCAGCCACAGAACTCACGATCCATCTATTACTGTTTCCACAGTCATAATAAGGCCGCGTAAAGGCGACCGGCAGGAATTCTTCATTCATACCAGGCGCGTTTGGTCCAAAAAAGGTTAATGTCTCCAAATTTTTTATGGGATCTCCATCGACAGTGGCTAGCTGGACCTTGGTATTGTATTGATTTTTACCAATAGCTGTACCTCGAGTATCAGGAATATAAGAGATGCCCATTTCCTTATCTCGGATGAAAGGGTTGTTTTTATACCATGGAGCAGTATAATTAGGCCCGACACCTCTATCAATAATCTGAATTGTAAAAAAAAGTGTGAAGTAATGGCAAGCGAAAAAAAGACGATATCTCAAAATTCACCATAAAAAGACAGAAAGGGTAAAAAGCAATTTTAAGGCCCTTGAATGAGATCGGATATATGAAGATCAAGATAGTGTGACCCTCTGCTTTGTCGCAGTTTAATTTAGCAATATAGTGCTAAAGTGGGTTGACCTCGTTTTCGCAACTTGGTCTTGATGTCAGGGCGAGTTGGCTGGACGCACTTTGCCGGAAGATCGCTGTCATAGAAGTTATAATAATTCCCAGCGTCATACCTTGGACTTGGTACATTTTCAGACGTTTCGACGGCATCGTAGTCGGCATCATCAGTGAGTGCTGCCAGTCTCAGCACCAAGCTACAACTTGTCAGAGACAAGTAAAGTCAAATCCCTGACCAAACTTTCTGCCGAAAAAGTTAAGTTATCACTCATATTTCTGTCCTGGCCCATCTATCTAACCCTTATCCTCTTCTCCCACTACCGCCCTATCACGACTTATGACTTGTTTACATTCCACTCATCAATAAGTGCGGCCTCATCGCCTGCTGTTCACTTTGCCCCTTTCTCTTTTTTTTCGGCTAATCCGACTGGGACCTCCTATCCGGATGTCCCTCATGCTCCCGTAGATCTGTTCCTTATCTTTCTGGTTGATTCAGTTCCAGTCCCAATGTGCGTTTTACTCCAGGCGCTATTTCTCAAGCCCTTAGAAGCATGTACACTGCCACCTCACAGAGCAGGGTGCCTAGGCTCTGATTCCCATGCCTTCCGATATTAAGAAATGCCTTCTTCACGGGTCGTCTCATTTATTAAATCCATGCAACCTGAACAAACTATGGGCGCCTATCTCTGGTCGCATGCGGCGTCTCAAGTAAATTTCTAGTACATTTTGGCCATGACACCGAATTTCTGAGACGGTTTGTTTATCCGTGCCCTTAGTTCAGTGACCGCCAGCTCCATAAAGATGTAGTGGTTTCTTCGAGTGGAATTAACTCACTGAGAACGTCTACGTATGATAACGAAAATGTCCTCACCTTCCACCTCGTGTACTCTTTTCATCCGATTAACAATGGGTCTTGCCGTATCCTTGTTTTCCCCGAGTTTGCTTAAACAGTAGGCAAAGTTATCACTAAATCTACCCTTTTCCAATCTCAAGTTCATTAGATTTTTCTCCCCAAGGATGTCAATGGTCTCTCTAATCTTCCGCTTCGTGTTGTCACTGTATGGGGCTCTTCTTTCTGTTGCCTTCCAATTTATCTCGTATCTAGTCTGTGCGATGTGTTTCGCTAGTTCTGATCTTTCAGTATCCATTTTCCTCCAGAGCCTCTGATGCTCCTTGATTCGTATGATAATTTTTCTCCCTATTTCGCCAACATATTTCTGTTCGAACGCGCTGCATGATATACAGTAAACTCCTGCACAATCCAATTAGTCTACCTTTTCATGTTGCGTCGGTAGACTTGTGAAAAGTGTTGATTTCTCTTTCATGGTCACCTGAATATTCCATTAACTCAATATTGGCCATAGTTTTTGAGTTAGTTCGCAGGATGGTAGGCATATCCACTTTTGTAAATCCTTTATCGTCCTCACTGTTCTTGCAGAGTCCCCGTTCTGCCATCGGCTTTTCACGGCCCGTATGTTTATTTTTATCACTTCGCTATGATAGACATTGCAGAGGATTATCCTACTGAATTTATCCAGCTCCTCATCCCAGAATTCTACATCCGCTAAGTGTATCCTTCGGATGATCATGCGCCTCATCGTTACATCTTCCAATTTTTCTCTTCAGTGACCAAAGTGCGAAGTAATCATACAGGTACTGCATGAGCATTGTTGATTGTGGCGCTGATATTTTAAAGTTATATTCTAATGCGTTTGCCGAAGGAGGGAAGAGCAGCAATCCCATGGGAAGTCCAAATATTCGTTCATATATTTTCCTGTTGAGTGTGAAATAGGTTGTCCTTATTGTTAAGTTGATTAATCATATTAATGACTCCCTCCTGATTCATTGTGATTCTAGGATATCCTCCTCTCAGTCCAGGATTTCAATCAGGGTCGTCAGCGAATTTTCTCCGGAGATGCTTGTATACATAGATTGCACACCAAAACTTACCAATAAGCCTGTTTCTTTCAATGCCATGTTTTTGATTCTTATAGAAAACTGTGTTTGATAACCTGTCATTTACTTTCTTGAGCTACAAACATATGAACTTTGCCTATTTGTGTTGCTCCCAACTTGTTATTGACTATCACCCTCAGTGGTTCGACTTCTTTGTGTATCTTCGGTAATCTGTGGGCTATTTGTGATTGTTATAATTGCATTCTTTTGTCCATGCATCAATTTTCTATGCATATTTTGCAGCATGTCACTTAGAATTCCATTGATCTTTATAGTCGGGTCCTTCCTAAGTATACGATATGTAGTCCTGTCTCATAGAATAAATTCCCTCTTCTCGGAATATTATTTTTTGCCCATCATCACTTTCGCTCCTCTTTTATCCCTCTGAAGGACTCATTGTATATTCATTTCTAAGGCCTGGCGTATTCTCGCAAATCTGTCCCTGTTTGTTGATTCTTGATGTATTAAGATCTTTGTAATAAGTTCTATCTCCATTTTCCGTTCTGTCTCCTCATGAAGGTAGTCTGAAATATTGATAACCTCCATCACGATGTCTTCTAGAAGGCTGTTGTCATTGTGAAGTGGAAAGTTTAGTCCTTCCTTCAGGATCAAGAGGAAGTGATGATAGATTCACTACGCTCTTCCTATCATCCTGCTACTCAGTAGGCTTAATCACCTCGGAACTGGGTGCATTGGCTTTAACTTAGGCTTCTTTTTTTGGTATATAAGTTGAGTTTCAAGACTACCAGTAAATCAATTATATGAGATGTATTCACCCTATTTAGTTTAAGGTGGTCAAGTGGCCGAGTGGTTAACATGTCAAATTCATATGCTGCACTCTCACAGTGCGACTCCCGCTGAGAATATTGATAAAACCTACGCAAGGTCGAAAGTGCAGTCCACCTTGAATGATAACAACCTTTGAGAAAGCAAGGCTCTGTCAAATTTAATGGAAATGTAAGCTCAACTCATAGTGTTGTGGGAAAATTCTACTACCAGTATTTAATCACCTTAAACCATAATGCCAAGCTTACGCACTTAATCGTCGTGTCGATTTGTTATTAAGTCAGAGACCCTGCGTGATTTCTTGTCGATCATGCTCTGAAGTTTTTGAAAGTCTGTCGGAGTCAGGAGTTTGGACAGGTCACGCTAAAGCTTTGACTTAATATCTACAAACTTAAATAGCTTATTCCTCTTCATATCCTAGGTTTCATTTAAATTCTGAATAGAGGCCTAGTGGAGAATATCATAAACCTTATCTGAGTAGTAGGATCTCTTAAAGACACGGAAAACAGGGATGATATCAAAACGTTTGTAACAGTTTTAAAAGATCCGATTGCAAGATTGACTTATAATTATCTTCTTTGTTTGTCTCTATTCAGTGCATTGTCTGGCATTATTACTAAAATAGTTAGTTTTCGCTGTATAGTGTATAGCGACCAATTGACAAGCGGAATGGAAGAGGGAGGAGCTGAATGAAGGTCAGAAGCCCTGCAAACAGTAACTGTAATCGCTCATGAGGCTGTTTATGCCCCACTAAATCCACTTGTTACAACGCACTCTCGAGCGAAATTGGAGGAAACGAGAATAGGTAAATGGGTCATATGAAGTGGCGTTAAGAGATAGAGAAGCAGCACTAGAAGATAAAACAACTCTGTGGTACTGATGGCGCCTCTCACTGACTATGCCAGCTAAACGTTTGAAAATGTACTAGCCAATGATCCTATGCTGTAAATCATGAATAATATGGCAGAGAACGCATGACTAGATACGTCCCTTATGCTCCGACTAACTCGCGAAGATGAGATCAAGCCGACACTTTAATAAGGTTTATGAAGCTTGCAAAACGCTAGTCCTTAAATAAATGATTCTAAAATAATGTGCAGCGGGGTGTGGATAAATAATATGGCACAAATGCCTTTAGTTTAGTAAGAAATTCATAATTATTTGTCAGTTGCTATGAGGAAAATTGCGATATTTTTTTAAGTTTACATGTCTCATACATTTCAGTATTAAAAAAATATAAGCATAATAGACTTTATTACTTTTAATGTTGCACCATATTTAAAATGCTTAAATATCTTTCATAACACTTGACGAAAATCATTATAGACCAATTTTAACGAAGGTTAATCAATGTTTAATAGCTTAGTTAAATATAATATAAAGCATTTTTTTATTAAAGAAATCAGCATTTTTGCTCAAAAAATGAGTAAAGGTTTCAATAAATCATTTCCCTTCCTCTACAAAGTAACTCACTTGTCGCACAATGCCAAGAAACCGAATATGCTTAATTAGTTCTCCAGATTTAGCGTTTGA